TCAGGAGAGGTCTGCCACGCCATGTGGTCACCTCCGGGGCAGGCGGGGATCGAACTCATGCGGAAGTGACTTTAGTTTCTCAGTGCAGTGCTTTAACCCGCTGCGCCACCAGGGAGGGTCCACTAGTCAAATATTTTTAAGTGCCAATTACATTATTTGTCAAATAATGCATAATGCTCTGATTCTTTTAACTATACCTTAAAATTCAAGTTTGCTATATGTTGAAATGTTGCCCTGGAAATAGTTATAATTGTTATCTTTGTCTAAAGATGTCCTTTATCTTACTAGAAAAAAACTCTTTAGAAAGCAAAAAATACTTGGCCATTAAATAATGGGTTTCTCACTACCCAGTTACTTATTTTGGTGGCTTTGGATTGTCTAGCTATACACCTAGGAATGATTAATTGACTTTCTGTAAAATGTCCCTTTAATCCATTAAAGGTATGTGTATATGGGGAGGGAGTACAGCTGTTGTAGAAAACAGTCTAAGCAAGAAATATTTGAGCAGAACTATTCTAAATAAGTTTATTTTGTATTTTTTATTAGTGGTTATTATGAAGTACTACTAGTAGGTATTTTTGGGAGGGGGTGGGTAATTTCCATTCATGTAGCCTAAATAAAGTCCTGTGGCTTTAAGTGAGTTGAACTAAAATGCTGTAATTGTCATTCAGCAAATTATAACATCTGAGGTTTACTAAGAAAGATGTGTAAGACATGAAGCCCTGTAGCAGATGTTTGTGTCCCTTTTTTAAAATTTATCTTTTAACTCTCTTAGATCAGACAGCTTAAAAGGCAAATTTACGTGGTTCTAATTAATGGTATATATTTGGAATAAAAGGGAAACTAGACACTTGGGGGCTGTTCAGAAACAATGGGCATAAAGGAAGTAAGCTGAAAATCTGGCAAGAGATAACTGCAGTAGACTTCAAAAACATAATTTATCAAATTCTTTTGTAGGATTCTAAAGTTGAAAGTGGATAAAAATAAAATGGTAGCCGTATCTGGTGTAAAAAAAGCCATATTTGATCGACTATGTAAACAATTAGAGAAGATTGGGCTGCAGATTGACAGTGAGTATTACTCAATGTTTCAAGAATGTGTTATTTGAAAATATAGACCTGCTAGTGAAAGTCAAATACTGTGAAGTGGCTGCTTTCTGAATTACATTATTACATTCAATGTGGACGAGGGGAGTTGCTTTTTTTTTTTTTTTTGTACTATGTATATGTATTTTTTAATAACAGGTTTTTTTTTTACATCATTTTGTGCCTTTTTCCATTGTATCCCCGTGCTTCCCATCACCAAATCATCCATGTGCCATCACCATGATCCAGTGCACTACCCACCCTCCTCCTGTTTTTGATCCCATTCTCCACTCTACCCCCATAAAATGTCTCTGGTATATAGTGGTTCATTATTATTACTTTTCTCCCCTGGTCCTTTATGCTCCTGCTAAGAATGAAACCAGTATTTCTTTCTGGCTTATTTCACTAAGCATGATCCTTTCTAGCTCTACCCATGTTGCTGCAAAAGGCATGTGTTTTATCTTTTTGATTGCTGATTGATATTCCATTGTGTATATGTACCACATCTTTTTAATCCAGTCATGTACTTTGGGCATTTGGGTTGAACTCATGTCTTTCCTATTGTAAATAAGGCAGCAATAATCATGGGGGTGCAAGTATCTTTTTGACAGTGTTTTTGTGTCTTTTGGATAGATACCTAGGAGTGGGATTGCTGGGTTGTATGGAAGCTCCATTTTTACCAGTTTGAGAAACCTCCAAACAGTTTTCCATAGTGGTTTGCATTCTCACCAGCAGTGCAGGAGAGTTCCTTTTTCTCCACATCCTCGCCAACATTTGTTGTTGCTAGTTGTTTGACAATGTGTCATTCTCACTGGGGTGAGGTGGTATCTCGTTATGGTTTTAATTTTCATCTCCCGTATTACAAGTGAAGTTGGACATTTTTTCATGTGTTTGTTGACTATCTGCATTCCCTCTTCGGAGTAGTGTCTTTTTAGCTCCTCTGCCCATTTTTTGATGGGGTTATTTTTGTTGTTTCTTCAGTTCTTTGTATATCTTTGTGATCAATCCTTTATTGCTAGTATTGTGTGAGAAAATTTTCTCCCATCCAGTGGGATGTCTGTTTTTTGTAATGTCTTTTGCTATATAGAAGCTCTTTAACTCAATGTAGTACTATCTGTTTATCCTTTCCTTCACTATTGTTGCATTGGGTGCTGTATCTTTTTTTCTTAAATTTATTTATGCATACAGAACTGGGGTACAAGCTAGAGATGCAGGGGCGGTGATTCACCAGAGACAGAGTGGGGAGCAGAACAGGCTGACTGATGAGGTACACTGCTGAGGAGAGCAGAAGGTGGGTCAGGAGAAGTTTTGCCGCAGCATGTGGGTCACCTCCAGGGCAGGGATCGAACTCATGCTGAAGTGGCTTTAGCTTCTTAGTGCTGTGCTTTAATCTGCTGCACCACCAGGGAGGGCCTTGGGTACAGTATCTTTAAAGGTGTTACTGAGGTGTACATTGTGTAGTGTTTCGCCCATGTTTGCTTCCAGGTATTTTATGGTTTCCGTTCTTATGTCTGAATCTTTAATCCACTTCAAGTTGGTTTTTGTGCATGGTGTAAGGTGGACCAGAGAAGTTTTTAATGAGAAAATTTTGTTGTTCTAGTAACTTTAAAAAAAAAAAGTAGTTTAACTTTAAAAAAAAATTTGGTTCCAAGAATCAATGCTAAAAATATTTTCTCACCAAAGAAATGTTTATTGAGATGTTTATTGAGGTAAACTAGGTTTTCATGTTGTATGTGCTTTGGAGATTATAGGTTTAAACCTCCACAAATTCTTACTTTCACACCCTGCCCACCACCAGTGCCCCAATAATATTCCACGACATTTTGTTGGGTTCTCTCCCCTTAGATATTTTGTTAATGTGCCAGCCTCCATCTGTATGAACTAGAATAAAAGTGGTTTCAGGTCTGAAAAAGAAAAAGGGACTGTCCTTTGCATTCTCCTTATTCTAGTACTTGGTCAGTCAAGGTATTTAATTTTTATTTGTCAAGCCAGAACGTGCCCAAATACAAAAATTGACAAGAGAAAAACTAACCCTGACGAAACTTTTTCTTAAAGGAGAGCCTGGAGATTCAGCTAGTCCACTTCGGAAGAAAAAAAAGACAGTGATTGAACCTCCAGCCAAGGGTAAGGGATAATTAACACTAGGCGAACATTGACGTTAGTGCTGGGGGATTAATGTGTAATAGGTTTAATACACTGAACTGTCCTGTGTTTCCTTCAGATTTTAAATAAATCCTTATAGTCACTTGATAGGACCATTTCCAAGCACTTGCAGAAGTTAGTAGAAGTATTTTGTAAAATAAAAACACATCTGAAACCATACTGCTTTGGTTCAGGTCCTGCCTTACCAACACTGCTGGCTGCATGATTTTAGGAAATTAGCTTAATTGCTTGAGCCTCAATTTCCTGATCTATGCTAGCATTTTGTAGGATTATAGTGAGGGTTGACAAAGTAACACCATTAAAGTTCACAGTTCCCTGCCTCTCAAGAACAAGGACAGTGTTTAATGAGTGTTAAGGTAGCTTATCAGGATGTCTTGGAGTGTTTGGGTCTTAAAAGGGAGAGTGAAAACTGTTGTATTGCTTGCTGTTTCCACTTTTCATTTTAGTAGCTAATGCCCTGTTACCTTAATAATTAGGAACTTTAAAATTAAAATTATTTTTTAGTTTCATTTGTACATACGAAAAATTTGACACACTTGAAATTTTTCTTACAGAAATTGAGAAGGTAGTAGAGATCTCACACAGACCACAAAATGATGACGATGTGACACAGGATTATGAAGAATGGAAAAGGAAAATTTTGGAAAATGCTGCCAAAGCACAAAAGACTACAGCAGAGTGATTTCAGCTGCTACAATGCCATGTGCTGCAAGTCAGCTTCTGCCAACCCGCCACCCCAAGGAGGATCTAAGGGCTTTGGAGTTTTGTTTAAACTTTTATGACAAGAATCCTAAGACCACAATTAGATCTTAATAGCACAGTGACTGGCACTGGGCACTGGGCAGCAGGCTGCTCCTGCTGTGGGCAGCAGAGTCATTAGAACAGCCACAGAGCCTCGTTGACATTGTCTCGCTTTCCACACATCTGCATTCTCTACGAAATGGAATTGGAACCATTCTGCTTTATTGTTTTGTTTTAAGCAAAAGAACCCTTGTCATATTGAATGCATAAAATTCAGACTGATTAGAATTTTATGGGTTTTACTTAAGTGTGTAAATTTTTGGTTTGACTAAATCAATATATGGTACAGCCTATATTAATAAATGTTATTTTTGTATGCATTCAGTTGCGCTTGTCATCAATGCCTTCCCCATCAGTTTGGGGAAACCCTTGCTATGCCAAAAGCTGTTCTACTCTACCAGGAAAAAATTAGGTTGCTTCCCACTGAAATATGTTGCTCACCAAAGCACACTCAGTCAGACTTAATGGATTTAAAACCCTTATTAGCCATTTAACACCTTAATTTCATTAAGCAACTTAATTTCATTATGTCCCAGATATAAGTAGAAGTGAAAACAGCCTCTGCCTCAGAGAATAATTTGGAAAGTAACTGAGCCACTCTGTAAAGCGTTTAGCACAGTACCTGGTGCTAGAGACCAGCTCTGGTGAGCAGGGTTGAGGGAAGGGATCTGAAAGAACTTGAAAATAAAGAACTGACAGGCACAAAAGATTTAAGAGAAGGGGGATCCAAGGGAAGCAAAGCTTCTGAGTGCCAAGTACAAGGAATCACTCTCAGTGTTTAGCCTTGTCCAGCACACGTTTATTGCCAAGGTTCTGTGGCATCAGATATATGTCACTCTCATTCTAATCTTGCCTGTTTCTCAGGCTTAGCTTTGCTGACACAAGAAAGGACATCATGGTCTGGCCTCAGCCAGTCTTTAGCCCATGTTGACCAGTCTTCAGTCACAACCGTGACGTTCTCCTTGTTTCAGCACTTCACTCCTTAGGAGTCTCTAATATTAATCTCCCTTTTTTTGTTTTTTAGTGCAGTCTTGACAGTGAATATGGAGGGAGTGTTTAGTTGTTGTTTTCATTGCTTTTGTAGAGGACTATACAGAATAACAGATGTGCAAAGACAAGGATCAGCCTAATGAATAATAGGGAGGCCCCCGTTTACAGGGAGATCAGCTGGCTTCTACAAAAAGTCTTCCACAACAGGCAGCACAGGGCTTTTAAAATGACAAGAAAAATTTAACAACAATAAACTTGTATGAAGCAAAATCCAAACTCCCCACATTGAGACCTGAGAACCACTTGTGTTGGGTTTAGCCAATAGGCAATGTTGTTCAAAAGTGTCAATGTGGCATTTTGTGGTTTTTGCTGCAATTGTTGCTAGTCTCTTTAAGGTGGTGGCCTGGAGTCTAATGTTACTACTGTCTTGCCTCTTTCCAGGAGGGGCTGTACAGAAAGGATTAGGAGTTCCAGAGAATGGTACCACAATAAGCCACAACTGAGTCTGGTGTCCAGAGGGCTTGTATTTGTCAAGTTCAAATACAGCAGCCTCAAGGACATCAAGTCTTGACCTTATGTTTCAGAAGACTGCAGTCGAGGGGAAGGGATCCTCCTTTCTTCTTTGGATCCATAAAGGTGGCATGCTGAGTGGCAGCTGGATTTCTAATGACCAGGCTCTGGAATAAGATTGGTGCTTTTTTGCTGGAACCCCAAGTGGTCCTGTAGGTGATAAAACAGAAACACACTCTCTCCCCCTATTTTGTTTTTTAAGTGCAGATTTCAGAGTGTAGCCTTGGGAGACAGTTCTTTTTAGGCTTTCAGTGTATGTTTAAAGAAGAAACAATCAGTCGTCAGTATTGGTTATACATGTCCAGTATGAAAGTCCACCATTACTGGAAATTAGTCTGTCATTCTGTGCCAAAAGAAAAAGCAGCAAGAGGCATTAGCCAAAAAAAAAAAAAAAAAAAATCCAGTGTAATAAGCACTTGAGCAATTTGTATAGCAGAGGAATGTCTCCTCATCTTTTGTAAGTTGTGAGTTGAGGACTTTTTGAGTAGCTCCCCTTAGTTTTTAATGGTAGTTTTGGAATATCTTGATTGCTGAGTAATATTCCATTGTGTATATGTATCCCTGGTTACTTTTTATCTGACTATCCTTTCTTTTCAGTTGCCTTTATAGAAAAGTATCAGAACACTTGGAGAGCTAATTTAACTCCTATCAATTATTACCAATAAAAATCAAAGATTATACAAAATTATACCAACTTCTTATTCACTGGGATAAGAGATGGTCCATTCAAATCCTGCTAATTAGTGCTAATATATTCCCCTCGCAGCACCAAGGAGGCCCACCCAGCACATTTTTAAGTCAAAAAGAACACTTCCTTTTGAGGACAAGTGAAGTAGATTTTTACAGTTTGTCCATTTCTAGACTTTCATCAAAATTTGGAATTTAGCTCAAAATATTGTATTTTTACTAGGTTAAATAATTTTAACAAGAACCTCAACACTTTGTAGGTCCAATAAGCAATTTTGAGGTTTTATTTACTCAATTAAGTATTTTGTACAGCTTTTATTAAGTCCAAAGTAATTCAGCAGTTTTTACCTTAAACAGCTTTAAGATTAAGAAAATGCAGGGAAATCGGTTTTTTGTCCATAGAATGAATCAAGACAATATCTCAAGGCAGACAAAGGGAATTCCAGACCCCAAGAGGAAGGCAATAGAGACCTGCGAATGGCTGAGACAGGGGCGGCCCTACAGCCAGCCACAGCCTAAGTCTCATATACTCATACCATTTTCTATGCCCTTGACAATTGTGAATGAACTCTGAATGCCATTTTTAGAAATACCTTTTTAGAATTTTTTTAAAAAGAGCATATGGCAAAACTCTAGTGCTCGGGACCCTGGCTTCCTCCTGAAGTAATTAACAGGAAAGGCTTGAAGCATTTTTTTCTCCAATTGCTTTTTCTGAAATACGTTTTTATGAGTGGCTCCAAATCTGCCAGAGACAACAGCCCTCTCTGGGTGCCCACATACCCATGCTGTGGCTGCTGCCAGGAGAGCAGGGAGGGCAGCTCCGGCTGAGTTATGGCTGGGCTCCATTGGCCTGACGAAAACTTTTTTATCTAGTGACTGACATACATTCCATGATTTAAAATGAGAGACAGGCGTTGCCTCTAAATTTTTCTACCAAGATTTAAAAAAAAAATTTTTTTTGAGAGTCCTCTTTGAGGACCTGGGACCTTAGGTTTTAATTGCCTTTAAAAATTGAGTGAGCTCTTTTATTGGACCCCTTATATCCCAGGGTGAGTTGAGACCTCTAAATTGTTCTTTATAATTGCTCTGCATGAGAGTGAGACTATTATCCATGTTTTTAAGAGCGAATAGACAGACTCAACTGAAAACTTATTTGGGTCTGCGGGTCTTTTTCCAGGCTGTTAAAGCTTGTTTGCCCATTGCTTCCCTGAGAGTACTGACGCTTCCCGGGTCCAGGAAGGCTCGCCTTCACAGTGAAATCGGCTCTAGCTACAGCATCCCTTTTGCACGTTTCCGAGTTTATCCTCCCTCAGGTCCCAGTCGCCTCTTGCCAGAGACAGCTCTGGTGAGCAGATAAGGAAAGGGGTCCGAAAGAAGTTGGAAATAAAGAACGACAGACACAAAGTAGAGTTTAAGAGAAGCAGGCCCGGGACACGAGGTCTCTCATTCCTGGCTCAAGCATCCCGACTGCCAGGTGTAACTCATTTTTGTGGGCACACTCCACCCTTTCCCCCCCTAGTCACTAGACAATCAATCATTCTCTTAGTATTTAGCTTTGTCCGGCCGCATTCACCGCCAAGGTCCTGCGTTATCAGGTATATTCTACTCCCTTTCTAATACTGCCTGTTTCTTAAGCTTAGCTTTGCTGACAGAAGAGGACATCGTGATCTGCGCACGGCCAGGCTTCCAGGCCCAGGCTGACCAGTCTTCCGGTCACGACCCCAACATTTTCCTTATCTCAGCACCTCATGCCTTAGGGATCTCCAACATCTGGTATCAGTATTTAAGTATTAGAATATAGACAGAAACACATGAATATATACAGAAAGATACACATTAGCATTACATTAAAATATCCAGAAATAACTCAGGCTTGTTTAGTTGGTATCCACAGTCTGAAAAATAAAGCCATTCTAAGTGCTACTTATTTTTAAACTATGGAAAAGGTCTTTATGGAAGATAAGTTGCTAGGGACTTGTGAGTCATCATGCCAGATATAACTTTCTCTAAAATTAAAAGAGTATGTGATCTAATTCAATATTTCCTTGAAGAATGCTATAAAGCAACTGCTTCTAAGTTTTAAAGTTATCTAGTGTCAGTAATAATACCCAAAGGAAATTTCAAAATCTTACTGAGCCTGAATTTCCTCATTTATAAAATGGAAACTACCTAATGAAGATTAAAGGTCATATTTGTAAAGTGCATGGCACTGAGAAGGCGTTCACTAAACAGTAGCTTTTGTTACTTTGAATAGAAGTGGATAAATGAGTCTTTTCCCCATTTATTTTAAGAAGATACATAATTTGTTTTTATTTGGTGCCAAGATTTAGATTTCTAGCAGGTCAAAACGCAATCTAGTCATTACCAGGTCACATAAAATTTTCCATCTTTAAAAATGTTAAGTATACAGTTTGGCGTCACATACATCCATGCTAGTACACAACTCTGGAAGTCGTCATCTTGCAATACTGACTCCTGTTCGGCCCCTCAGACACCTGTCACTGCTTCCCAGGCCTGGCCACCACCACTGTGTTGCTCTGAATTTGACTAGGTACCTCATAAAAATGGAATCATTCATCATAATGATCTAAAGAGGTTTGAAAAAAGCAACTGAGTACTTTTTAAAAATCTTACTTGACTTCATACAATGATTCATCCCATCTAGTAGATAAAAAGGAGCTCCAAGGAGCTGTACCACATGGAACTTATATAGACAGAACAAGGCAGGAAAGGAAGTTAAGCCAGGTAATAGAGACTGCTCTGCAGACCACCTGCCTTGAGGGGAGGTGGTGGTCTATCAGGCAGATGACCCCAGTAGGCTGAGGAGCCGCTCATATAGATCACCTCCAGGGCAGGCAGGGATGGAACTCATGCGGAAGTGGCTTCAGCTTCTTAGTGCTGTGCTTCAACCTGCTCCACCAGGGAGAGCCCAATTTCCTTTTTTTTTTTTTTTTTTTGTTAATGACACCAGGTCTTCATTTGAGAAGCTGTTGACTATGGAAAGTCACTTGTCCTCGCTAAGCCAC